CCCCAAAACCCCAAAACCCCACAAGACAAAATCAGATCAGTGTAAGTATGCCAATAAATCTAATTTTATAAATCATTTTAATAATCTAGCATATCAGTATTAACTCCAAACTCTCTTAGTATTTCTCTTGAATTTAGGCTTGACTGATTATAATTCATCATAAATTTACAACTTGTTCATATCCTCGCTGTCATCTATCTCAACCTTTTAATCAATATAACTACTTTCAACTGGCCTTCCATCATGATTAATAATCTCATCATCATCTTCTTCAATAATCTCGAGTGAAAATTTTATACTATTATCTTAATCATTCAAAGTGGATATCTGATTTTCCTGATTATTTGTATTAAGTTACTAAATGACAAGCTCTTTCTTTGATAATAAACCATGCAAAATCTTCTAATCAATCACTGGTATTTCCTTCATCGATTAATAGTTACTTAAAGCCTGAATCAAATGCTAGCTGCTTGCCATTATCTCGTCACCCTCCAATACAGTATCGCTTTTCTTTCTAGTAAAGCTTTTTTTAATGATGGACTAAAATTCATTTTCTTCATCAGAACTCGAATCGTTCTCGTTCAGCAAATGCTTCTTTTGGAAATTTAGTAAGTATCTTTAATCTTTATTCAGCAGTAGTGAAAGTACCAGATCTAGCTATCTAAGCTTATTCAGGAGATTAACTGCATCTAGTTCACTTTAAACTTTTTGATAACCCTTGTTATACAACGCCATTTTCTTAAGAATATCTTTTGATTTTTAGGAATTTTTTCAACATAAGCAGCAGCAAATATATAACTTTTAGAATGTAACTTTTAACTTATCTGATTTTGATAGACTGATTCTATATCGCGTACTTAAATACTTGACTAGATTATCAATGTGCTTCTTAGTAACCTACCACTTATTAGCAATTAAATCAGTTAAGCAGGTTTCTGAAAATTCTTTGCTCTTTGAAGTGCTCAGACGTCTAAGTCTCAAATTATTCTCAGATTTCCTAGTTGTTGATTAAACACTTTCAAAGCCTGCTAGACTTTTCCTAGTTTCAGTACCATGTCCGAATGCATCTTAATATACTTGCTGAATTTAGTAGAGTTTTCTAATGAGTGAAGAAAATAAGATTGTATCTTACAGTCTCTGATAAACAAACAAACCAATAAAGAACAAGCAGTTATACATGCCCCCAATATCTCGAAGTAGATTACTCAAGGAATAAACATGTCTTGTATAGATATCAATTTCTTTATAAAGTTTGACGTCTTGATAGAAATAGATTCCTCTACCAGCCCCACCTGTATCTGATGAGGTGAATGCTCTTTAATGAGACATCATATAGAAAAAATCTGTATTATATGAGGTGTCAAGCCCCACTATGCTATCACTCAACTATATATAATCCTTTTGATAGTATATCGTATTAAATGATGTCCTATTATACTCAATGGCCATGTAACTATCATCTAAAAAGTATTGAATCGGCTAATCATAGTTATCGATAGCAAAGTAAGAACTTATGATGATTTACTGGATCCATTTGCCATCAATCCACCTCTCGAATTCTTTCTCGCTTACGCAATTTTTACCCTAGCATCTTTTGTAGGTTAATGTCAAGCATTTATATAGAGGGGAATACCAATTCCCTTGAAGAGTTAAGTTTTTCCAGTCTGGACAATAGTAATTATGAAGGTTGTATTGACTTGCTTCTTCTTCATTTGAATAATTGAAGTTTTTGTTTAATTAGCATTTAGAGTAAGGAATGATATGATCAATGAATTCCCTGTATGTTGTGCCATCTGTCTCATTCTTCTTAATATTGATTTCACTCTAAAGAAGTTAAAATTCACCATAGGATTTGTTTGTAAATACTCTCTCAGCATACAAATCAGAAAGCATAAACGCAAGTGTGATGTTTTTGGCAGATAAGTCTTCAGGAGGCTAGATAGAATTAGAAACACTAATGATAGTATTCTTCTACACAGTTGTATGATTCAATTCCACCATATCGTTAAATTTATATATGCCTAATCCAAAGATCACAGATATCAAGCACATTGAAACAACTCCCCCAAATACAGTTTAAAATGATTATTTCCCCTTGTAGCTCAACTGAACAGGCTTTGCATAAATATCCAGAGGCTTCAAAATAGATTTCAATATGCCGCTTTTGCTGTCTTTGCTTTATTTTTATCGTCTCATCTAGATAAATTGAAATTAGATTTATTCCCTATTAATCTTATTTGAATCAAATGGGACTAAATCTCTCTATATCTATTAATTGCCCAATCTTCTCTACTTAGAATTGATGGGGTTTTGGGGTTTTGGGGTTTTGGGG